AAATGACCGATTTTGAGCTATCTTCTGTAAGCTTTCTCTTCATTACATCACAAAATGACACAAAAATAAATGCCATAACCCGAAAGCTGGGAACTTTCCCTACATTTTTATGATGGTCTTTATAAGGTCAATCTGTCCGCTATAGAGATATTTGTTGTTGAATATTGGATATTTTACAAGTAAAACAAACAAAATGCACTATGACTTCATTTGACGTTTTACATGTACAATGAAATTATACATGAACGCAATGTAAAACAATCTGATTCTTTTGATACTTAGAACACATTTATTTTTTTAAATGACTTATTTGTAAAGAAGAGTTGGTGTTAGACATGATATGAGCCATAAACATTAAAAGAATTCAATCAGCTGTCCATGGCTTTGGGAGAGATATAAGTAAATAGTCATTGGCCCAGCGCTCCGATTGCGCGCACCCATTGTTTCAGAAATCCTTGTCGAATTTGTGCCATTCCTACATGTACATGTACTTAGGAACAATAAATCAAATAGACATTATCGTTACCATTTTAAAATGAAAAAATAAATACAAGCATATTAATTTTTCCTTTCTTCAACATTTTTGAAAGGAAAAATGGTGTTTATGAAGGTGACAGGATAGGCTATATATCGCAGTTAGTCTTTTTATTTTTATGATTTTTTATGATCATATGAAACAATGAAAATATATCCAAAATATCCATAATTATATTGAAATCACAGGGGATACTAGCAGGTTTTATTTTTTCTTGTTGAAAAATATATTTTTATTTATCACAAATTACATGGAATTGAGGCGATAATAAAAATCGTGAAAATTTCGTTTGAATTATTTCCCTTTTTGTTACCATAGTTATTATGTACACAGGTGGGGACAAAACTTGAACTTCCATGTACACATGATATATCGATAAGTGATTCAGATTCCGACAATTCCACTCCATTTCAGACCCCACTCGGAAAAATGCAGCCCCCCCTCCCCCGTAAACACGAATTTGTGTTTATTTGGTTTGAAAAGTCAAAGGCTTGAATCATTAGAAGTCATTCCCCACGAAACGGGTTTAATTAGTATTTAGGCCCAGTGAAGCCTTTGATTTAGCACTAAATTTGACTATGGGGTGTTCCGTCTATACATAATCAATACATCGACTGTTGATCTTGGATACTGTTCGTTTTCTCTATATGTTTCATTATACATTTTTATTTGTATCTTTTACAAGGATGTAAAGTTGATCTGACATAATATATGCACAATTAATATCTTAATATCGTAAAGATTTTTCTTTGTGTTGTATATTTAAAATGTACACGGACATACATGTATAATGTGGAAAAAATAAAACAGAGGAAAAGTAAATGTTTGAATTTAAATCGCTAAATGCACAAGCAAATTATCTAAATTTAAAGAATACCAGACAAGAGTTTCTTCGCTTAATCATATTAAAAATACTTTATCTTCACTAATATTTTGTTTATGACAATTTGTCCAAATCAAATATAATTATGATGTTTTTTACTAGAGCAAATCAACTTTTGTACAATATTCATATATACTTGAAAATTTGTCTCATATTTTCAATTTGAATATATCGATAAATACATTCTGAGTAACAGATATTTCCTTTTCGTATAGTATAATGAGTGAATAAGTGCTTTTCTTGCAGTCCTTTATCTTTACGAAAGCAGCAATAAAAAAGGAATGCAGTAATAGGTTTTTAATTTTTGTTTCGTTGTTTATTTTTATTTATTTATTAATTTCAAATATACGCGTATTTTATTCATTTAATTTTTGTTTAAATCCTTTTTGAAATATAAAGATAACAAATAGAAATCAAGCCCAAACATCCATATAAACAATAGAAATAAGGAGCAAAACATACCCGGATGTCTTTTATACTAGAGTGTCAGGTGTCATGGAAGAGTGGGTATCCCCTCTCAACAAGTTGTTAAGGAAACAAACAGAATATAAAAACACTACATAAAATACATGTAACAATGCAGATGTTCTTATATTAAAACCCATCGTTTGATAGCTAAAATCCTCGAAGACGAGTTATCTCAAGAACATATGTATTTCTTCAGGTTCAGAAGAAAAATTCTGTTAGGTTTTAATGATCTGAATTTACTGGTACCTTTGCCGGAAAAAATGTCGTGCGGCCAAGTTTGTCACAAATAACTGATTTCCCCAGCTTTGAAAATGGGGGTTTATAGTTCGATTTGTCTTTCCGTCCGGCTGTCTGTCTGTCTGTATTTCTATCTGTCTATTACAGTTTCATTTTCGTGTGACATTTCAAGCAATGAAATTATGTACAATAAATCCTTTTATATGACCTAGTCCGACTTTCATAAAGTGACCCACCCCTTCGACTATCCTCTTAGACACACGGATGCTCTTCTTTTCTCCTTAAGCGTGGGTATAGAATCAACTTGTTTGAGGAATATAGGCAAGATACTTAGTATGAAAGGCGAAGATAAGAAAATGGCGATCGCGAGAAAATGCCTATATAAGCAAGACAAGTCAGGAGCAAAATATACACTTCAAAATATTACTAGAGGTCAGATGAGATATTATGAAGCAGTAAGCATATTTTTTTAACAGGACCCATTTTGTCTCAAGCGATTTTCTAACAACTTAAATAAGTCTGTTATTTTCTAATAAAAATATTGATGATTACATTATTATTGTTACCATTTGGTATTGGCACAAATGTTATAATTAAACAATTAGGTGACGGTCGATTGTGTGAAGTAATAATATAAAGTTTTAAGTCTTCGCAATCGTTATTTTTAATAGATTAGTGAGAAAAAGAGTATAAACATGTAGAGTGGAGATAACAAACAGTATTTATTATCAAAGTCCATCAAACAATACAAAATAAGAGCAGAGAAAACTAGGACCTCAAAAACATCAGAGGTGGAATCAGGTGCCATGGAAGAGTAAGCATCCCCTGCCGACCGGTCACACCCGCCGTGTGCTCCTTATAATGATCGGAAAATAATGAGAAGATCCGTCGTCAATTCACTTTATAGATATTGGACTAACAATACGTATGAAAAAAGTCAGTCAGCATTTAAATCCATGATAAATTGATTTTGCTGACAAAGTCATTGTATCGACCATTAAACTTACGAAATCATTACTTTTAACGAGACTGCTGATATTCTTGTTTTCATCAACGTGTTTGTCAATAATTTACCTTGTTTAAGAATTTTTTTATACGTAGAGCATGTTCTTGCGGATCAAATCAACTGAGATATATATATTCTGGAGTTATGAAGGTATATTGCTGCATAAGTAAGAAAAGTTAAAGTCATCACGTTTATCATAGAGATTGTTTGTTAGATTACAATTTACGTATTTTTCGAATGAAATATCCAAATATGAAATAGATGTGTCAGACTCTGTGGTATCTTTTATCTCAAGCTCGCCAGGATAAATCGTATCGACACAGGAATTGAAATTAGCATTGTTAATTGATAATACGTCGTCGATAGATCTAAATAACGAGTTAAAGGCCTCAGAGAGTGTTTTCTCCTTTGCATGCAGAAGATTTTGCTCAAATTCTGCTTCATATGAATACAAAAATAGGTATGCAAATAATGAAGCGCAATTGGTACGCTTTGGATTTCCAATAGATTTTTGGAGGACCTGGTCTCCTAAACCCAAATATATATTGTCAATCAGAAACTCACAGGGCGTAAGGCGCATTTGAATTCAAAACTATAAGGGTTATTTTTATCACTTCTTTTTCCAAAAGGAAGCTGTTCAAATATCTGTATTAATTCTACTCATAACAAAGTGTTTCTGTCTGCTTTGCATTTGCATTTCAATTGACAGCTTTTATTTATGGTTTGAAATTTAATGTCAAAATTATTTTCAAAGAATACGAGAATTTATAAACTTTCTGGTTCACTGTCCTTAATGTTACTGTTATCTATTTAATAAAGAAATGTCATCAAAAATCAATATAGATATGAAATTTAAGAGACACTATTATAATTATTTTAGAATAGAATACCAAATAAACATTAAAGGTAATAAGAAAAAAAACACAAATTTTATACATATTTTAAAGAATGCAAAATCGAGAACAATTAACACCCAAATAATAGTAATAAAGACTTGTGAGTGAAGATCATCTTACCATGTAAAGTAAGTATTTTTTCTAGACCGACTACAGACCCACGTTTTGTATTATAATTATATAGTAATCCATAGTCGAAAGAAATTTTAAACGCAACAGCCAAGCCATGGGTATGAAATCTGTCCGAAAAATGTCTTGTCACAAGGAGTACACTTGTGAAATATGAAAATCATAGCCCCATCCACTCAAAAGTTATGAACATGGTAAATTGTTTTGTAAACAGACGGACAGACAGCTAAAGGAACGGACAGAGCAAAAACTATATATATATATACGAATCTTCGATTACAAGGGCATAAAAAATCCAACGATCGAGTGAATATAAAAGAAAATGTATTGAGAAATACAATTAAAGTTTGAATTTTGAAAGACCAGTAGTACGTTTGTACGTTGCTTGCCTTGTTCTAAAATTGATTGAACATAGAATATATTCTACAATAGATTTTACAATATATATGGACTTGACCAATGTTAACATACTTAAATGTTAAAAAGCTTCGATTCTGTTATGGGAAACGTAATTAATTTTCCTCATTTTCCATAACAGGAAGTAAAATATGCCGCCGATTGCTATGTTACAATTTAAAAAAAAAATCGAACTTCCAATAGTAATTGTTATTCTGTTTATTTGAAATATATACTTGTTAAATCAAATCATTTCCACGTACATATAATTGGGTCTAATCTAAACAAGATGATTTTATTGACGCTTTTATTGAAATCCATTTTTCTGCAAGGCAGTGTGGAATCATGTGCAATAGATAAGTATGAACATATAAAGATATTCTAGAAATTCTTTGAAATTCATTTTTCTGCTTTGGAATAATGTCATTAGTTTACACCATTCTAAATCTCTTTTTAACAATCCAGTGATACTGGAGTATGTTGCTTCAACTTCTACAAGAACGTAAATGGCCATTGCATACGTAAGATTAGATAATTAAATGAAATGAAATTTATTAACTGTCAAATATGTAAAATGATTTTATGATTATATTGAGAGAAGACAATAAGCTTTACATTCATACATTTAGAATGTCCAGTTGGTTCTTTTGGTTCGAACTGCAGTGGACATTGTCCCCCGGGATACTTTGGAATGTTATGTCGAGAGAAATGTTCTTGTGAGGAAGACATTTGTGACAGAGAAATTGGTTGAACACAACAAACAGGTTTGTAAAGATGTCATTTAATTAACGAAATGTAATATTGAACAAAATTTTAATCTTAAAATGAACATAACGTGAAATTACGAGCAATGATAGGCTTAAAGAATAATTCGAATCTGAGAATAATATATAAACGATATCCAAAAATTAAAGAGCTAGGATCACTAGGAAGAGAAATCGTCTTCTGTTGTCCGGTCACATTTGCCGTGAGTCCTTAATAAACTAAATCCTCTTCCGGTATGCATTTATTACACATGTATTTTATTTTAAAAAGTGAATCTCTTGAAATCTCAGATTAAAATGGGGCGTTGCTAAAATTAAAACTTCAAAGTACATACAGCCAATGCCTAATGTAAATAATTTTATTCCTGTACAAGTTGGGTACATAACTCTTTACATATTACTTCTGACTCATAAAAGCTACAGTATATATGTAAATGTATTCTATGTTTACTCATTTATCCCACGGATATGACTCATTGAATATTTTTGATATCCACAGATAGGTGCAGTTTTGACGTCACAATGGTTTTTGCGTTAACGTGATGAAGTAAAATAAAGTGGTCATATATAAGAAATGTAAAACGTTGGTTGTAAAGTATTAAACATGCGAAAAAAAGAATTTCCCATGATTTGAAGTTGGATATGACTGTTATTCAACTCGTTGTGTGTTTTTATCCTCTCGGCAAGACTTGGTGACAAGAAATACACAAATAAAATCATATCCAACTACAAATCATGCGTGATCCTATATATATTATCTAAGATTGTTTTTTTTAAAATTCAGATTGGTCTATTCCATCTTCCCCTACTTCAACATCAGTCGAGAAAATTTTGCCGACTGGTATGATGTCGTCCTCATATTGGAAAAACACACTCTTTATAGTGATGGGGTCTGTTGTAACACTTTGTGTTATCATGATAATGTACTTTGTTAAAACATGGTAAGACTGACATATGATTTATAGCATAACTACTTACCATAAAAAGAATAATGACAATTTGTATCGTTTTATTCATAAATTGTCGTTTTTTTTGTCTATTTGTACATTAAAAGGTTCATTAAACTAAAAGCCCGAGGTGTTGGCAGCCGCATAAGTATATCAGGTATTATGTTTATTTAAGAAATAATTGATAATTAAACCGTAACATTACAGGTAAAAGGACAGGAAATTTGATATTTGTTTTTTAAAAAGCAATGATGATGAATTTTTTTTTAAAAATTACTTTCATTGTAGAAAATACGCTTGGGAATAACATTACCTTGCGATACACAAATAATGAAAGCATTGAAGATGTTAACCATACCAATAGTTATACGGGGTTATTGGTAGCAAACGGGGCACTGCACGAAGAAAAATTAAGAAATATAACACCTGGTAATGGTTTTGTGAATATAAATTTGAATTATATAACTTGTTATCTTATTTTATATCCAATTACAGTTGCATATTACACTTTGAATTTTTATAATCAGTATCAAAATACGAAGTGTTATCAGATTGCTAAGATTGATAATTATTCTTGAGAAAGTTTCCTGAGATATTCTTATAGGTACCAGACCAAACATAAACGATGAACCTTTCAAGGAAAATAAGGAAGAGATCACTCAAAATAAAATTGAAAATCTCGATAACGAGTACCAGGATGCTTGGTCCGATGAAAATTTCATGAAGATTAAAACCTTGGGCGATACTCCAAGGGACTCAAATTTGACATCGTCACGAATGAACAATGGTATCGATATGAAGCTTAGACCCTACAGTTCCGTTAAATACAATAGAAAAAGCAACGTGAGAGAGGCTACATGTGAAATGAATTCGGTCCATAACAACATTTGTGATAGCTCTAAGGCAGCAGGAGAAGAGGGCCAAAGAAATGAAGAGAATACAAAAACCAATCATGTGGTAGATTTCGGGGGCAAGTATTTTATAAGTGCACCATTGCATGTCATTTTATCTGCTAGAAACATGGATTATATTATTTAAGCAATTATAACTTATTATTTTATCTTTTGTTTTTGCAAGTTACATATATTTATTCTATTATTAAAGGTGTGCATTCAGAAAAGGAAGATGCTTCACCAGAGTTGATTGTATACGAAGACCTGAACGTTCTTATGGCTGCCCAGTCAGAACATTATACAGATCTAACTTTTCCCAACGGAAATTCTTATTCAGAAATCAATAAAAATACAGAGATAAATGAGAGAGAATTTTGTTCAAGAGAACATTTATATGAAGCCAAAAGACATGCTGAATCGACAGAAATGTATGCAGTTCCTAATTTTCCGGGAAGAGAAAGCATTCTGAATAAAGATTACTCTGCAACAAGTGCAAAAGAAGACAATATGTTCAATGAAGGAGAGACCATAACTGAGGAAAATTGGAACATTTACGAAGATGTAACAATCCATTGACTCTACAATTAAGCTCGTCTTTTTACCTTGTACAGTAAAATAACCAATGTTTGAACAGTTACAAATATAAACCAATATTATTATTACATTTGTTTTAATATGTTTTTATGAACTTGGTTCGTTCTTTGATGTCTTAGTAGTTAAACACTGAGAATTTTTATAATTTGTTTTATTTTTGAACAGCTACAAATAAACTGAAATTGTTTCAATTCTGTCAGATTAATTTGTACATCGTAAAAACTGTATCTTTTTCAGTACTATTTGCATCAATTTTTCCTTAAGAAATCTGTCTTCGATATTTTAATTGTCTTTCCATGATACTGGTGTTTTTGATTATCTAAATTTAATGTGCAGGTTAAAACTTCTTTGTCAACACAAGCGTTAAAGGATTTGAATTTTTTTTTTGTATTATATAGGCGAATTGTCTAAAGATTCTTACTGTTACTACTAAAAACAATAAAAAAAAGTATACTAACTTATACCCCTAAGTATGTAAATGTATTACTTGTTGAAATTTATTTTATTCTCGATAGATTCACATAAGAATTGGAATGAACTGATTATTTTTCAAAGAAAAAAGTTAAGGAAAATTTCATACATTAGTATTCAAAATTAATTTCAAAAAATCCTTATGCATAAGAAGAAAAAACTATGAAAAAAATATTATAAAATTTTATTCAGTTATTTGCTATACTTTTTTAAAAAGTAAGCACAGTGGTGGGTCTCGTCTATACAGTATACAAGAATACTGCATCTGAAAACTAGCTCTTTACATATGATTGAAAAGACCACATGAATAATTTTTGTAATCTTTCAAGCCTACAGTGGTCCACCGTTAATGTGATGGACCTTTATTTCAAAAGACGTAGAAATGCGCGTAGTTATGAATATTGATTACACAATAAACCATGTCTCTGATGATGTTAAAGAAGAACTTCATATAGAGTGTGTTACAGCATATTCAAGAAGAGCTTTAAATCAGATGTTTATCACCAACGATAAAAATCCTTAAGAAATTTGAAGTCTATGATTTTCCAATCAAAATTATGTCATTTACATATTATTAATACATAGAGCTGGCAGTAATTGCGACCAATCAACAGAGAATGCCTCCTACTCCCAAGCACCTGTCTTCTTTATACTATTTTTAACAGATTTTTTATCAATTGAAGCTCTTACATGTGTGAGATCGACCTCTGATTGAATCAAATGGATTATTTGAATTTAATTATAACCACAAATTAATGTTTTTTTTAGATATATATGTAAGCTGTCAACTTTCATTTAGCATAAAAAAAATTTCAATAATTTTAGTTTTAAAATTTGATCATTTTCTATATCTTCATATGGAGCTTTTCTTCTAAAGGAAATCAATATAGTCTAAAATGACCACAACCCCCAGCCTCTTTAATTATACATTTTGATGTAAAATGACACAAATATTTTATTATTCTTTTAACAATATTTTTTTTGCAAACCTTTTTGAAAATAATTCTTTTGAGAAAATCAAAGTGTTATATAAGAAAATATTATTCTACTTTTGGAAGCTACCAGTCATTGCGTTTTTTAAACACCAATCTCTCATCTTTTACATTCTTTATCTCTTTAATCAATCCCGTGGGCATCCGGGTTAGAATAGGTCCTCAGTATTGCTTGTCGTAAAAGGCGACAGGGCGGTCCTTCGGATGAGATGTATGGATTTTTCCAAGGTGGGCACGATAAAGACCTCCCTCCTCAAAGGCCGTAAGTGCCGAGCATAGGCCTAAATTTGCAGCCCTTCACCGGCAATGGTGACGTCTCCATATCAGTGAAATATTCTGGAGAGTGACGTTAAACAGTATACAGTAAAACACGTTTAGTACGAACACGGATATAACGAATTCACGGATATGGATTTTTTGTCCCCGGCAAAATTCTTAACAAATCTTTGTAAAATTTTACGGTTATAACGAACTCTGATATGACGAATTTACGGATATAGCGAACTGATTTTGAATCCCGTTGAGTTTTTAAATATAATGAATTATACATCTTTAATAACGAACTTCCAAAGATCTCAAAATTTTGATAAATTGAACTGACAAACACTTTCAGCATTTGTATATAAAATTCGTTTCATAATACCTTAGTTATCTATTAAATGTTTTGTAATATTTGCTTCAACATTTTGACAAGTAACACTTGAAGGAAAACATGCATATTGCGATTTCGCTATATATGGTTATACGAATTCGTTATACGGATATAACAAATTACGGATATAGCGAAGAGAGAGAGAGCTTTTTTCTGTAGAGATCAATCAATCAATCAATGAGTAAATCTCTTTAATTCTTAAAATGTCAAAGATAAATAAATTGAGAAAATTAACAGTGTTCAAGCTCAAAAGTTCATTCAAACGATACAAAACAAGAGCAGCAGCAAACACAGACTTCTAAAAGATCAAAGGTGGGATCAGATGCCACAGATGAGTGAGTATCACCACCACCGGACGTAAGTTCTTGTAATAAAGGAACAAATCTGATTCAGAATGTAAATAACGGCTGATGAAAAAGGTCAATCAGCAATTGACTTAATGGTAGATTTTTTTTGAAATGTTTGAAATGAAGACTACTTTACACGAGACAGTTCTCGTTTCATATATAGTTAACATGCAATTGATAAGGTATAGTGATGTATGTGTGAGGCAAATTGACAATTAAAAAGTTCACGTCATCACGTTTATCATTGATCTTATATGTAAGATTGTTGTACATTTGTTTATAAAGTTTATAAGAAAGATATTGAGTGAGAGAGGTTTATTTATATCTTTTTATTGACGATAAATTTCCTAAGTTAGGAAATAAAAAAAAAACATGTTTTAGCTATATCTGTTTTACTAATTGGTCAAATGTTTCCTTGCAATATTATGTTCTGAAGTGCATAAACTGAATTTTTCTTTTTTTTAGAAAATCATTAACTCAGAAAAAATTATGAAATTCGTATCCGAGAAGAGACGAAATTGACAAACTAGGTGATAATGTTTATTCTACAAAGTGTTTTGTGCATACTAATGGGGATAATCCAAATCAGCAATGCTTGTGAAAAAAGGTGTGTTGAAGACAGTGAATGTTATTTGTTTCTCTAGCATTTTATGATAGCAGGAAAAATAATTCTTTTAGAAGTCATACAGATACAGTATAATTTGAACTGCATTTCTGTACTAAAATTGCATGCTATCATATTTTTCAATCATTTTGTATCATCCGAACAAAACAAAAACTGATATTATTGTTTGTTTCTTGTGAAAAAAAAAGACTTCTTTATTGTTACCTAGTAATTGACTGTTGAAAGGTGGTGATAGAGATATAGATTTATTTCATGTACCATCATTTATTTACACTTCCTTGTATATTTTCTTATGAATAAAATAATATTGTTTACATAAACTTATTTATGTAAGAATTATTTTTTTTTTGCTTTCTTCCAGTCCTGGCAGGTGCTGTTATAATTTTTACAGAGAGGGGAAATTATGCAAGGGTATTAGTTGTTCCTTATCCAGTTTTTCATGTTTTTAAATCAAATAAATGATATTTTGTTGTTAAAAAATATAGCAAAATATAATTAACGTTAAATATTTGTTAAAAAATGTTAAATTTAGTGGATAAATATCAACCTTTTTACAGAGTGCCCTGTTGGAACGCATGGTTTAAACTGTAGTGAACAATGTATAAAGGGTTACTATGGAAGGCTTTGTCTAGAACCATGTGACTGTCCCGCTAATCTGTGTGATGTAATATATGGTTGCTATGGCAACAGTTCTCATCCCTTTACCGCTGAAGGTATGCATTTTAAATAAATTTACTATTAGAATAGAGCTTGGTTTTATATTGAAAAGACATAATTAAAATGAACCAAGAAAGTTTGAAATGTAAATTGAATTTTGAATATCTTTTTGAAATGTATATACAAAAAAAGTCTACTAGAGAAGTCCCAGAATACATTCTTCGGGAATATATTGTGATGATGAAAAAAAATATGTTTAGATATGTTGTATAGTTATTATATTTGTATTGTGTTTCGTAAGACTGCTATACGATTATTTTTTCCACCTCCACTTTATCTATTGCAGTTCGGTCTTTAAGTGGAATAAATATAGGTATGACGTCATCATCTTGGAGAAACTCAATATTCATCGGAATTGTGTTGATGGGAACTTTCTTAATTATAGGAGTGATGTTCTTCATTAAGTCTTGGTACGATCCACATATCATCAAAACTTTGACTTGAAAATAAAATAATTCTTGAAATATTTATCTTTCAAATCATGCTTTCATATCATCTCAACAACATTGACCACGATAATGATATGCTTTTATGCTTAAAGGTTCATTAAAATGAAAACTCGTGCAGCAAGTAACCAAAGGGGGGCATCAGGTATTCTTAACAGTAAACAGAACGGTTTGAATAACGCTTTATATTCAAATATGATAGAAAATTTCTATTTTACAAATAATAATTTTATTTTTTTATTATTTTTTTTTCAATGTAGAGAACATTGTACAGGAGAACAACATTGGTCTGCGGAATATAGACAATGAAAGATATGAAAATAATATCCTACGTACTGACACCGATAGTAACACAAGGTTGATGGTACAAAACAGATCACTAAAGAAAGAAGGTTTGAGAATAGCACCTAGAATATGTATGTCATGTTTGCACTTTAAAAAAGTAATTATGAATGCATAAACATGAATATTTTGAAAGTTAATTAAGAAAAGCATTACAAGTTGTGTTATCTATTTTTTTTTAATGAGCGTTATTGCCAGATTCTATAGAAAACGTAGTTATACCCCTTAATATAAACAGTTTCTAATTGCTTACTTTAAAAAGTTCAACAATTCGACTGTTTCCCCTAATGTGGATCCAGGAAATGTTAAAAAAAACGCTGTTGCTCACTGTCTTTAAATGGCGCTTCATCTCATTCGGCAAACTTCAACTGATTCGTATTACCGTGAAATAAATGGAATCAGCCGAGCAATGCCGATTAATTTCAACCTGTCGTTTAAGATAAACAGATCGACATGGCCAATGTTCTTTTGCCGTTGCAAATGAGGATGAAATCCAGTAGATTCTTAAAAGTGGAGACAGTAAAAATACACGTAAAGTCTCTCTCTCAGTTTTATTTTCGATTAAATTCATGAATTTAATCTAGAAGGAGTATAAAAACAACGTTGTCAGGAGTCTCGAGGAACAGTCCACATGTTGGACCAGAATGCAAGCATTTACAAGCGGTCGACGGCCTTAGGCAACAACTTGCACTCTGGTCCAACAGACTGAATGTTTCCCTCTACTGCAGTCAACAACAGTAAAATGTAAATGCAATCTTTCTTGAAAATATTCTTGTTTAATATTCTTACAGGTTTCAAATCGAACGAGGAAAACTGCATAGAAAAGGGAAAATATAGCAGAGAAAATAAGCTTGATGATACAGAAAACGAATACCAAGATGCATGGTCTGCTAAAACGTTTCTAGATAAGATATCAAGGGACGGGAAACTGAGAACACCACAAAGGGAACAGCGTATGGATAGGACGCTAAAATCTTACGGTTTCATAAGATATGAAAGACAACTTGAAGAGGAGGCCACAGCTGAACACAATTCGACATACGACTATATTGATGATGTCTTTGTCAATAGAGGATACGAGGATGAAAGTCTTGTAAAGGACACATACAATGCTACTCTGCTAGCTTCAGAAGGCAAGTGATTGTAAAGCGAATATAACCTACAAAGTTCTGTTCACGTGATACAGGAAATAAATAAATGATTTGATTGCATAGTTGGCATCTCATACATCGATGTTCAAATTGTATATTTACAGCTGAAGATAGAAAGTCAAAAAATAGTCCTGCAATTCCTGATTCGAAGGCGTATGAAGATTTGAGCGTTTGCATGTTGAATCATTTTGAACATTACACAGATTTAACTTTTCAAGAGATGACATTTGATTCAGTTATTAATAATGAGAAAGAAACGCATGGGACAGTTTTGTTGAACACAGATAATTTATGTAAGGTCACTGAAAGAATTGAATCAACAGAAATATATACAGTACCCATTCGTCGAAGAGAAAGCTGTTTTACGCTTAAGTCATCAGCGACAACTTCAAAACCATGCAGAGAACCTAAAAGACAAAAAATTATTGAAGGTCATTTAATTTATGGAGAACAAATGCACAAGAATGTTTGTACGAATATGTGAAAATAATTTAGGATGTTTATTTTGTGTATAGTTGAATATTTACGCCTCGAGCAGTCACCATTTACATACGAACATAGTTAAAAAAGTTCTGATGGGAAATTATTATTTAGTAACAAGTTTCCTAATTTTTGATATAACATGACTATAACATGATATTGGGTGCGTTCACAGTTCTACCAATAGTACCAACTCTCAATTTACCATTGGTACCATAATTTGACAATGGTACCATTTGTACCAATAAACCCTGAACGCGTATTGGCATACCAATGTTTTGTTTTTACCAATGTTACCAATGGGAGCCCAATGGAAACGTTGGTAATATTGATTTTACCAATGTTACCAATAGGAGTCCAATGGAAACGTTGGTAATACTGATTTACAGATTTATAGATTTGTAAACATGTCAAACAGCAAACACCTTGTTGCTGCCCTAAATACAGGAACAACATTTTCATCATAAATTGAATCTGTCTATCCGTCATCTGCACAGCTCAGATTTAATAACTAATCTGTACGAAGAAAGGTCAGATTCAATAACAAGAATTTGCAACTACTATAAGATTACCATTCCTCAATACTCTATTGATGACTTTAAAATGCACTTTCGTCTCACCAGGGAAATTTTTCAATCTACAATTGCAAGACTTGTTCAGTCTAAAGTATATACTAAACTTACAGGCCCACAACCAAATCTGGAAAAAGAACTACTAATGTTTCTTTGGTATATTGGTAACTTAGAAAGTTTTCGGTCAATGGCGGACAGATTTGGAATAGCAAAGAGCAGCTTCCATATTAGTATTAGAAGAGTTTCGTCGGGACTCCTTGAGATAATGCAAGAAGTGATAACATGGCCAGAAACCCCAGCCAAAATGAATGAAACTTGCCAGCAGTTTGGGGAGAAGTCTGAATTCCAAAATATCTTAGGTGCTATTGATGGAAGTCATATACCAATCAAGGCTCCAGTGCAACAACCTCAGGCTTACTTTAACAGAAAAAAGTTTTATTCCATAGTTCTTTTAGCATGCTGTAACTCAAAAATGGAATTCACTTATGTTTGGACTGGGAACCCAGGCAGCACACATGATGCTACCGTGTTAAGATTTTCAGATTTATTTCAAAATAGTAACAAAATTCCTAATGGTTATTGCATCTTAGGAGACTCTGCTTTTCCTATAATGGAGTGGCTAATAACGCCCTTCCGAGACTGTGGAAACCTGACCCAACAGCAACGACGCTTTAATTATGTCCATAGCAAATGCAGACAGGTAATTGAACGAGCATTTGGAATGTTAAAATGCAGATTTCGAAGGCTTTTGCGCTTTGATTCATGCAATATGCACATGCTTGTGAATTCTGTGCTTGCTGCATGTGTTTTGCACAATTTATGCATGTTAAAAAGTGATGTTTTTGAAGTTCCCGAGGTCAATGATGCTGAAATTTGTGATGATGCTTTGTTTGCTAGAGATGGACAGCAAATTCGGGGTATACAGCTGAGACAGCAAATGATGAACCAGCTGTGAAGTATGCAGTATTCAACAGAGAAGAAAAAAGAACATTGAAAAATTGTAACTTAAGTTTATCAATTAGAAATCACCACGAATTCACAATTGGCTTTTATGATTTTCATGACCAAAAATTATACCATGAATGTATTTTGATTTTGTTTCCATAAGAGGTGCAATCAAATAAATCAAATTTAACAAGGTATCATACAAAGTTACTTGTTATTTGTAGATACATGAGTTAATGTAAGAATGGGTGCGTTGAAATGTCACTAAACAAAGTATAATGCAGAATACAGTTGACAACCACTGAAACAACTGTAGATACATGTATTAATGTAAGCATTTCTCTTTGAAATGTCACTAAACAAAGTATAATGCAGAATACAGTTGACAACCACTGAAACAACTGTAGATACATGTATTAATGTAAGCATTTCTCTTTGAAATGTCACTAAACAAAGTATAATGCAGAATACAGTTGACAACCACTGAAACAACTGTAGATACATGTATTAATGTAAGCATTTCTCTTTGAAATGTCACTAAACAAAGTATGATGCAGAATACAGTTGACAACCACTGAAACAACTGTAGATACATGTATTAATGTAAGCATTTCTCTTTGAAATGTCACTAAACAAAGTATAATGCAGAATACAGTTGAAACCCACTGAAACAACTGTAGATAAATGTATTAATGTAAGCATTTCTCTTTGAAATGTCACTAAACAAAGTATAATGCAGAATACAGTTGACAACCACTGAAACAACTGTAGATACATGTATTAATGTAAGCATTTCTCTTTGAAATGTCACTAAACAAAGTATAATGCAGAATACAGTTGAAACCCACTGAAACAACCCTTTCTGACTCAAATGGATATCTTTTAAAGTTTTTCAAAGTTTGTCAACAAGCTTTTCCAGGATGCTATTCGTTTTCTGCTGCATTTCATTTAATTGCTTAAAGAGTGCGTTATCTCTCTCAGTCAGAAATTCTTTCAGTTCATCAAGCTTTCTTTTTTTCCCTTTGTTTTTCCTGCTTAAACTACTTGTTGATGTACTACTACTTGCTGTTTCCTCACCATCTTCACCATCTTGATCTTCGTCCGAGTCCTCAACATCATCGTTGTTGTTAATTTCCTTGGCTCCAAATGAGCTTTTCATGACTATTGGTTTGAATGAAGGGTCATTTTCTAAAATTGATTCCATTTCCGTTTCAAATGTGAATGGCTTTGGCCGTCTATTGCCAGTTTTCTTAGATTCTATCAAGAAGTGGCGGTAACTTCTCTTAAGAGAATAAAACTTCTCTCTACATTGAATTGCCGATGGCTGATAACTTGTTGCCCGTTTAATCTGATCTGCCACCATTGGCCACACTTTTTTGGAAAGAGCAAAATCACTGGTTTCTTTCTTCTTATCAATCAGAATTGTTAGAAGTTTTTTTGTTGCTGAAGTTTTCCAGTCAAAGCGTTTAACAGGCTGGTCCTCATCCTCATCTTCTTCATCATCATAGGTTGCCGTTACTGTTACTGTTTCCACAGTACTTGAGGATGTGCTGGGCCTAGTCTCTGCATTTGTCTGCTGCGACACAATCTGTGGGACTACAACATGGTCATCCACAATATCTATGTACACTGGATCATTTGGAGGGTCTGATGGGAGCAATGTAGCCAGTTCTTGTGAGAACTTTTCAAGATCTGAAAAAAATCATGTGTGTATTATATGACATCATAATATTAAATTAATTTACAAAAGATTCTTAAAAAATAATCATTGGAGATGAAATTTATTTTATTAAATCATTGCCTCCTTTGTTATTGTCATAATTTAACCATATGCTATTCCGTGTAATAAAATGGAAATAATAATAACAATAATAAAACTGGATAATTATGAATAAAAATATACGAAATGATTTTGATATCTAGACTTGATAAACAGCACTGGTGAAAACTGTACGAGCTAAGATTACATTTTAATACCCATCAAAGGTAAGTAAACAATTAATGAAGTTTTAAAATAAAATGTCTGGGTTGATTGAAATTATATATACATGTATTTCAGAAGCAGAGGTTTTATACATATATATTCAAAGGCAAAATTAACATTTGTTTCGTACATGTTGTAAATGTGAGCTAGCTTACAAAGAAATTAAATGTATCAATTTCAGATTCAGAAAAATAATTCAGTTTTGCTCAGAGTCATTACTATGACACATAGTTTACACAGAAAATATATATATTTTTTTTAACAAGTGCTGTTTTATAAATATATTTAACAAATGCCGTTTTACCTAAGTGCCATTTTCACCAAGTGCGCTTTCGCATATACTAAATGCCGTTTTCATCAAGTGACATTTTGACTGGGAACCCGCATTGTGCATACATAACAAACACGTGTTTAACTGTACATTTAATAAATATATGTTATGCTTACGATTAAACTTCTACAAAGACCGCCATGTATACTTACTGTCAGAAATCAATTTGACTAGGCTGCTCTTGACTAAAATTTTATAGGTTTTTTCTCCAAGTAATAGACTCAAGGGGAAAATTGTCTCTCTGAGACCAGGATCCATTCTTTTTGCCGCCATGTTGAAAATAACTGTGACGTCATTTACCAACATTAACCACACTCTAGACTGTCTGCAGAAAAATCTACCATTGGCAAAAAACGTTGGTACCACTGGCATGCCAATGGTATTTTTTTTTACCAACAACAACATTTGTCAACCAACGGCAGAACTGTGAACGCACCCATTATACCTTTTACTAAAGCATTTTCGAAAAATGAATTATAAGAGCGTTTTTGAAAAATTCTTTTATTTGAAAAAAAAACTAAAACTATGAATAGTAAGACGTGTTCGCTTTCATACCTTCTTGCATTTTTACAAACATTATTTAATTTATCTTTTAAATCGTCTACTTTCCAAACCTATGTAGCAATATACCATTATCAGCTACATACAGTTGAAAAAAATATATATATGATGATTTAATGCGCAAAACATTTAATAATTCAGACTGTCAGAAGGAGATGCATATTACTTTATGGACCTGATCCCACTCTCTGTTCATGATTGCGTTGTGTGATTTTATTTTCAGCTTTAAAACACTTTGTCATATCGATATATTTTATTTTCACTGAATCGGCCAGAATGCTGTGTTTTTATCATGATCGGGCAAACAATGTAAACTCCCTTTGATTCAATAATGATGGATTATTATAGTTGACAAGCTCATGATTAAAACCATAGAATTTGCAAATAAATGGCAATAAATAAGTGTTTGTCATTTCCCCCTCCTTTTAGTGTAGCATGCATTTGTTTATCTAATCACCTAAGGGACATAAATTTCATATGCCGTTTACAGAAGTAAACTGCTACAATAAATAATTTAAGATGAAGAGAAACAAGTTGTGATCATCAGGTTTTTCCGAAAGGGTCGTTTTAGTTAAGAGTCCTGTCTTTTTTCTAGGAGAATATCCAAGTATGAAAAAGAAGTGTTACACTCTGTGGTTCCTTTTCTTTGGAGGTCAAACAGAAACATGCCAGCGAATGAGCGCAGTAATGAAAATATAATGGAACATAAGGAGATAACGAACAGTATTCCAGATCAGTGCCATAAAACAATACAAAATAGGGCAGAGCAAACACGGACATCCAAAACATTAGAGGTTGGATCAGGTGCCATGGAAGAGTGAGCATCCCCGGTCACATCCGACGTGTGCTCTTTGTCATAATCGGGAAATAACGGAAAAATCAGCCGTCAACTCAGTTTATAAATAATGGACTAACATTTGGTATGTAAAACGTCAGTCAGCATTTCACTCAATGATAAATCGTATTGATTGACATGGTCATTGTATCGACCATAGAATTTACGAAATGATGACGTTTAACAATTGACAACTTGTTTGTTAATAATTCAATTTGTTGTAGAAATTGTACATACGTTTTTGCGTATCTTATCAACTGAGGTATGTAAACTTCGTATACAGGTGATGAAGGTATATTGCTGGATAATTAAGGGAAGTTGACGATAGAAAACTTAAAGTGATCACGTTTATCATAGAGTTTGGTTGTTAGCTTATCATTACCGTCTTTTTGAAGTAAAATATCTAATTATGAAGCAGATGTGTTAGACTCAGTGAAATCTTTTATCTCAAGCTTACCAGGATATATCATATCGACATAAAAATGTAAATTACCATTGCTAATTGACAATACGTCGTCGATATATCTAAATGTCAAGTTGAAAGCCACAGCAAGTGTTTTCTTCTTTTCACGCACAAGATTTTGTACAAATTCTGTTTCATATGAATATTGAAATACGACTGGTAATATCAAGGTGCAATTGGTACTCATGGGAATTCCAATAGATTGTTGGAAAACCTGGTCTCCAAAAACCACATAGATACTTAGTATTGTCAATCAGAAACTCAAGCATTGTTTTGATGTCGACTTCAGAATACTTGTGTGTACAATCAGAATGCTTTTTAACAAAATGATTTTGCAATTGACCAACGAAAAGGTAAGTAAATTTAAAGGTTCCATTTTTATTAAAAAAGCAACTGTCAATGATATCGAAAAGCCTGGACTTTAATTTATCGTGGGAAACGGTTGTGTATAAAGTTGATAAGTCGTAGGTTTTATAATAAGCTGTTGATTTTTGTAAAATGGTTAATTAACACAACGTCTTTGATGAGATATGAAATAGCAAAGTGTATTTAAGCTCAAACGTTCGTTCAAGTTATACAAATAAGGAGCAAAACAAATATATATCTAAATATTGAAGACTTCTGCTTAAGGATTTAAAATAAATGTTTTTGAATGAATTCTATTTCACACGAGTATGAAGATAGTTCTGCCTACAATGGATCGCAAGTATTACCAATTCTACAGATTCTCTTAAACTGCAAAACAATAAGGGAAGTTCCTAAGTGTGGACAAACCAACCTCAGCTGCCTAATTAATCTCTCTCTCTCTCTCTCCTTTTTAATCTCCTTACTAGGGACTCTGCTATTAACGCAATCTTACTTAATTATGATAGCTTTTCACACAAAGTGAATATTAAAGATTTGGCACTTTTGTTGTTCTAATTATGAGAGAGAGAGAGAGAGAGAGAGAGATTGAGAGAGAGAGATACATTTATTAACCCTTTTAATCGTTTCCCATATGTTTTTATGTAACACGTGCCCACTTTCTACGCTATTAATTTGACTCATCATCGAAGGCTCTAAAATTTACGATAATTGGTTCTTCTAATCATATACTTTCCCGAATCAAAGTAGTTGTTAGTGTTTTTGCTGATCCACTTAAAGCAATGAAAAGTTACATAAAAATATGAAACATAAAATGTGACAGCTGTCAGTGTGACGGAATAGACCAGTACGAGATTGATAATGTTTGTTGTTGGCACCATTTTAGGAGTGCTGATCTTGACTTTCCAAAACAGCAACACATGTGAGAGAAGGTTTGATGAAGATTTTTCATGTTTTTATTTTCTATGAATATTTCTTGTCTTTGCTTGTTTCCTAAATGATGCATAATTTCTCAGAGAAAAAAAATTCTGATGCCCAAAGCCATATCAATTACCCTATGATTTGTTTTTATTTCTTAAATGATTTACTTTAAAGTATATAATCAGTTGAAATGAAAAACATAGAGAAGGAATATAAATGATTGTATAAATTGTTTCAAATTGTACTAACATGTTAGCCATTCTTTTTTTAAGGGATGGTAAATGTTGTCTTAATTACTTCAGAAAATTAAATTTTTGCCATGGTAAAAATGCTAAAATAATTAACTCATTGATTAACTTCCTTAATTTTTTTTCTATAAAATATATAACAAAAAGTATAAAATAACAAAGTTTCCAGGATAAGATATCTTTTAGCAAACGTTGAAGCAAAGTTTCTGACATTTTAACTGTTTGTACGGTATCTTTATTTCAATAATTGGGAACATTGCAAGTAATGGGTATTAAAGGACTCTGTAGAATGTCCGGCTGGAACACACGGTGTTAACTATAGTGGAAAGTGTGTTGGTGGTTACTATGGGAGATCATGTCTCCAACCCTGTAACTGCCCAAGTCATCTCTGTGATGGAACAAATGGTTGCCCTAAGAACTACACGCTTGTTTCTACTAAAACAGGTTTATTAAAAAAAAATATTAAGTATAAATCTGACCTTTGACATACATTACATAAATAAATTCAGTTTGGAAGCAAACATAAGAATTAAGATAATTTTATTGACCATCTTTTATTGACATATAAGCTTTCACTATATTTATTGATATTCTTTGCATTAATCAGTTCCTACACCTTCAGAACGATGTGGTAATGGAATGATTTGTGGAGAGAGATGTAATTGCACAGGTGGCTCTTGTGACCTTTACTGTTTTCAAGGACTACAAGTTTCTACTCAATCTACAAGTACATGTTAGGTATTTTCTAAGAACTATTTTAAGTGTGAAGAGGTTCAAGTTGATGATTTAAATATGTCGAATAGGATTTTTTTAAAATGATATAATTGAATACTTTTACCATTTACGGTTTCTTGAAAATTACGTTTAACATGAACTATCTATAATAACAAAACAATTAAGCAAAATCTGTTCAGTTTTTTTTCATGAATATTGATGAAGGAAATGCAGTAAACAGTAGGACTATATATAGACACACATGTCCAAGGGTATTCATAGACAACGGGGTAATCGGGTATGTTGCATTTTGACGACTATTATTAAAAAGGTTAATATGCGTCATGACAGAGTATATAGTCGACACTGGTTAAAAGATAACTGTCATTATGAGTAAGACGCTTGCCATCCACATCAAAAGTGAGTTGTCTCTCAAACGTCCTACCTCGTTTTCTTGGCGCCATGTTTGTTTATCAGTATAAAATTAGCTACAGCGTTACTTGATGGATTTATTTAAAAATATACATTTCTCTCCTAGCAGGATTATAAATAATTATAATCGGATAACTTTATAGCGCGTTTAATTTTAATGGTGTAATTAAGAGTACTTTCGTTACCTTTATTGGTAAACAAGATAAATTTCAAACTGTATTTTTTAACTAGCGCAAATATTACTTTAATGTTCGATTCCGTGTATTACAACCTTTAATCACCAGGCAATTTATCCCACCTTTGATGATTTAGTGGTCAGTGTTTGTTCTTCTGTTTAGTATTTTTTTTATGGATTCTTGATAATGAATACTGTTTGTGATCTCCATATCTTTCATTACTCTGTCTCAGCTCTTCGCTACATTGTAACCATCAAAAAATCACCGCTTTCAACTTTAAAACGTAATTATTAAAAGTGTTCCAGCCACCTTAATAAAAATGATATTTGGAAACCGGTCAGCAGGGGATGCTCACTCCTCCATGGCACATGATCCCATTTCTGATATTTTGGGGTCTGAGATTTCTCTGCTCCTATTTTGTATTGTTTTATGGCCTTGATATTGAATTCTGTTCCTTATCTCCATATCCTTCTTTAATAATTTAATTCGATTTCTCTTGTTATTCAAAATACAAAAAAATGAAATATTTTCTCATTTTATAAATTCTATTGTTGAGCAATACGAAACTAAAAAAATATATTAAACATGATAGTATTTGTAAAAATGACAAAAAACAATGTAGGAATGAGTATAACAATTTCTATTGACGTGAGATCCGGGTCTTTGGAAAATTGTAAGTAGTAAGTAAAAGAATTTGCAACAAGTTCAGCTTAAGTATGAGTTACTGAACCATCATGTCGTCATTGGTTAAACTGTGAAGTAATGTTTTAATTCTACACATGTTTTGTTGTCAATCCAATCGCTGCCACAATTCATAGAGTGAAGTCTTCATTTCCTTCCTCCAAGCTAATTACGTCCAGATCAAGGAATCACTGCTCAAAAACCAGAGGGAACATTTCCTTGTTAATCAAAATTAACGAAGTTAGTAACAATGTAATCTTGTTTCCACGATGGATATAAGGATAGTGTTTTTCGTCATCTGTGCCTATTTTATGATACACTGTCCTGCTCAAGCACCTGTCAAAGAGGTACACATATCTGGAGACTTCGTTTTGGGAGCTTTGTTTCCAATACACGGCTCCAAAGACGGAACCTGTACGTCACAGGTCAACGAACAAGATGGAATCCAGATTTTGGAGGCCACCATTTTTGCTATCAGTGAAGTGAACACTTATCTGAAAGGAAAAGGATTTAGTTTGGGATTACTAGCCAGGGATTCCTGCTACGATACAAATATAGCACTAGAAAACGCACTGGAGTTTGCACAGAAGCGATATAACTCTCAGTCAAATAGGTTTGAGAACTGTACCTATTCTTCGACAGATGCCAACAACATCATAGGTGTAATTGGTCCCCCAAGAAGCAAGGAAACAGTAGACGTAGCAAAGCTACTCACGTTGTTCAAAGTTCCACAGGTAAAAAGGCTCAAGTATTCTAAATGAAAATATTTTTGGGAACTGTTAATATTTCAAAATCACGGTACATATGTATTGACATAAAAAACTTCTTTGTGTATTGATAATGTATACTACAAAGAGACGTTTATAACTGTTTTTACTTGTCCAGGCCTTGCACCTGTTCTATCTGATGATTTTTATACCCCTGGCTTGAAAAGCGGGAGGGTATATAGTAATCGTTATGTCCGTCCGTCCGTTTGTCTAGCTGTACGTCCGTCCATCTGTCTGTATGTCCGTCCGTCCGTCTGTTATGCTTTAGGGTCCTCTTCTTTTATCCGCAACTCCTCTCATACCACTGAATGAAATCTGATGAAACATTCAAAGAATCGTTATTACATATTACCATTGTGCATCTCTTATTTTACTTTTTGATCTGACACATAGTTTTGGTTTCCCACAACAAAACATGGACACTCCCATTATATTAATATGGGAAGTGGGGGTATCACTTAGTGTGCTCATTGCTCACATCACATTAACTCTAGTTTTCATTATCAAGCATAATTTATTGACAATTACAAGTATATCTTTTAGCTACGAATACAATATATCCCCGTTTAAACACAGATCAGTTACTTCGCCACAACCCCGGAACTGAGCGACAATGTTAAATACAAATACTTCAAGAGGACTGTTCCATCTGACACTTTCCAGGCCAAAGCATTAGTCAGTATAATGCGGTATGTAGTGTCATGTAATACATTGTGACTGAAACTATAGATTGTATCAAATTTTCTTGTACTTCACTTCTTAAGTTGAAGATGCATTGGGAACCTAAGCCATTTACTTGAGTATATTAGTCGGAAGAACCCCGATAAGCAGGCTAGTTACTCAACAAGACTTGCTGTAATTGCTGAAATATTACTTTGTTGCAATAGAGAACAATTTCAATTTGTTGTATCTATCTAAACATGTAAAAATGAAAATGGATTCGAATGAATTCCTACAAATATGCTTTTCTATAAACCATTTTCTTTTTTTGTGAGTAATACTCGGATAATTTTTTTCAATTATTTAAACATAATACTTCATTCTTGACAATACATGTATCTATTTCATCTTTTGAGACAGATAATTCATTTAGTTACTTCAAATTTGTGCCAAGATTTTCACTGTTTAATGAAATCATACGTCAGTTAAGAAGTTTTTCTGTCTGCTAATCAGTAACATATTTACAGTCCCTGAAACCTTCTACTTTCCCATTTTTCCGTTCGCTCACAGTTCGTTCACTGGTCGTTCTGCGTTTGTTCACCGTTCGTTCAGCGTGCGTTCACAGTTCGCTCTCCGTTCACAGTTTTGCGTTCACCGTTCACCTTGAGCTCGCGTTCATCGTTCACAAAACGTTCACCGTTCGCTCTTCGTTCCATTTACTTTGCGTTCATCTTGCGTTCACCGTTCTTTTATAGTTCATTGTCATTCGAAACTTCGAAGTGAAAAGACTTATCTTTTTGATGGTAAGGATTTTCAAGTTTTTTTTAATTAAATAACTAAGATATTGTGTTTGAAAAATAATTATTTCATTGCAAAAATTATCTATTTCTATTATTATAACTTAGCTAATACTTTATCCGTGAAATTTTCCTGGAAAATAATATATTAAGTACCTACATGTATGTAGAACAGTGCTAAATTATTATTACAAATGCTTCACTCACGGCAACATCTTGTTGTAATGTAAAAGACGAAAAATCATTAATGGATGGATAATAATCCCAGTTTTTACGAGACAAGAATACACAAAAAATTATTTTCTAATACGTATTAAAAAAATGCTCGAAAACATATATGAGAACTACACTTAGATCTGAGAATTATGAACAGTACTGCAGATATTCAGATATTCAGATAATTAAATATCTCTTAGAGCTAAATAAATTAATAGCATGATTTGAAATTTTATAAAGACACGGACTGATTAAAATGTAATAGACTAGAATTTTTTCTACTTTACGTTAAGTCTATTTTTAGAGAGGGAAAATTCCTTCATTCACTGCACCTAAATATATGTTTGCCATTCAGTATAATTAGGAGCCCTCCCCCCCCCCCCCCCCACGGCTCCTCATCTCCCGATATCAAGTACTTAGTCCGTATATCCAGAAACAGTAATTGTATCATGGCTGCGGTGTTTTTCCTTTGAAGAAAAGTGTACAATAACTGGAGATACACCGATGGGCGGAGCCAGGAAAAAATGTGCAGTGTAAATTATTGAACACCAAGACGATTTCATCATTTTTATTTACAACTTGCAAAATTTCTGCAAGTGAAATAAAAGTCTTTTAAATTATAGTGCGTATCGCAAACTACGAAATACTTTTACGGAACTCTGCAGATATTCAATCCTCTGCAACGAGAAATCAAGTTCTTGACATGAATTTCATACCGAATTATATTAAAATATCATGCTTATTGTAATATAGCGCTTTAGCAGAAAATACCATCTTTGTCGTGTTCTTTGCTCAACTATAATAAGTGCAGATGTACTTCATCCACAGATGAAAAGTTATTGACCCTGACACAACGTTTTCGTGAATGCGACAGTTCTCGAATATGTAAAATGATCAACGGGTATCTCAGTTTTTTTGTTGAGAATACCATTGTATTGACTATACATCTTACTAAATCATGAATTCAAATGAAATGGGTCATAATCTTCTATCATTAACTTGTTTGTTAATAACACACCTCGTTTATGAAATTGTTCACACATGGAGAATACATGTACATATCTTATTTACTGAAATACATAGGCCCCGAATGCATGGAATAAAGGTATGCTTCTTCATAAGTTAGAGAAATTGACGATTGAAAGTTTAAATCATTACATTATTTTAGCAAGCTTTGTTGTAAGACCGTCTTTTCTTATTAAAAAATATTAAAATACAAAACAGATTCGTCAAACTCTGAAGTGTTTCAAACTCACCGGGATATATTAAATCAACATAGGGATGTAATTAAATTCATTAATGGCAATTTTACAAATCTGTATGTTATAGTGATGTTTATTTTCAATATATTTTTTTTTCTTACTGCAGGTCTTTTGATTGGCAAAATGCCAGCATACTCTACGAAGACAGTAACTATGGAATTGAAGGATACACTGAGATCAGGGCTGCCGCAGGGGATGCAGGGATATCTTTGGGATTCGATAAAAAAGTTAAAGAATCAAGCAATGAGGATGAATTGGAAAAAATCGTGGAAGATTTGATGAAAAAGAAAATCACAAACGGTATGTTTATTACTTAAAATATATTTAAATGCAACAAATGAAATGTTAGCAAGTTAAAAAAAATAGATAATTCACCGTACACATTATGTTCTTATGGTTACCTATAAAGATGGTTATATTGATTTCAAAAACTTACACTTGCACAAAACACAAAATGTACGTAAAATATACTTTTACGAACATATAAATTGGGTAAAAAAATCTTTTTTTGATAAAGATATGGTTTCATTTAATATATAATGAAATTATGATGATCGAATAGTGAGTTTAGATAATGATTCAAAAAAAAGCCTAATATTTTTTAATTATTTCGTATCCATATTGTATGACAATTTATATCTCCAAGAAATACTAAGGATATAAACACTACCTTACCATTTTAATTATGATTGGCAGGGAAAAGATGAAATTTGTATCTTTTTTGTAATCAATATTAGAGTGTTAAAAATGAGGGAATAGAAACAATTTTGATAAGAATCTCCCTTTTCTGCAAACGTAATTAAGATTCAAATGCTAAATAACTGCCCCGCGTCTTTAAAAAAGAAAACAAATTAAATTCTTATAAAGAAATACCACTCTTAAAGTCACTGTTTTCCATTTTTCTTTTTTCTTTTTGTTGCGTTAACCTTGACAGCAAATACTTTATCTATTAGCCGATTGTTAACTGACTTTCTTCATTCAAATTGAAAGGCCTACTTTATAAACAATTAGTGGCAACCGATTTGTTTCGTTATTTTTCGATCATGACAAAGAACACATGGCCAGTGCGGTGGTCGACAGGAACTGCTAACTCCTCAATGATCCAACGAAGTTTAAAAGGCCCATATTTCTCTGCAACTTATTCGTATGGATTAAATTGACTTTAGAACTTTAATTCATGTTGACTTTCTCCAAACATTGCATTCAATGGACTTACAAAATGCTTGAAATCTTGATATTTTTATGTGCTTTCTTACCTATGTTTTAATGCGATGTATGACAGGGATTTGCTTAGGTGATTGTAAAAGCATCTTTTTGGTTAGAAATAAATTATATACCTGTGAGGACAAATGAGACGATTATTGCTTATTATTTAAATGATAAGCTATTATTTGAAAGCATTGACACAAGTATGGTTTATCTTTACAAAAAAAAAAAATCAGATAATTATTAATGGAATTTTTACCACAACCTTTTACTGTGTGGAAGAACAGCAGTTGTATAGAAAGTTATTTTTTCAGTCTTGTTACGGTCTAAAATTGCTTCTTTTTATTCTTACATAAACTATGTTTGTAGTTCTTATTTACGAGCTTTGCAATATTTTTTGTAATACTTTCAGAAGCTCACGTACTGTTATAAATAAATTCATGTTACATGTAAATTCACAATAATTATTCAAAATTTTTTTTCTTTATGACTTGAAGTGGTAGGGTACATTTGTTTGATTGAATTCAACAAGAGGCTATTTCATTTTCATTGCTTTGAATCTAACGTTAATTAAAATCATGTACATCGTGGAACGGTTTATCCGAGCCAGATCCTTACATACGTTTCTCCTTACATACCTGATTATGACATCAAAATATACGACTTTTCTCACTTAAAAGTTTTTTTTTTTTTATACTTTTGGCGATAAATTTGCTTCCATGTCTACTTTGTTAAACGTATATACGTGGTTTATATTTTTTATATATAAAAATTAAAATAAAAATGTTTCTTAAGGATTTCAATCCCTAATGATACCAAATTCTCTACCCTTAAATGTCCGATAATCTGATATTATATTAAAGCATGTTTAGTGGAAAAAGGATTACCCACGAGAAATTTTCAAAAAGTTCATTAATTAAGCAGTAGTTAATTAACAAAGATTGCATTGAAGTCTATGAAGAAAAGCTTTTTTTCAAAATAAAAATTCAAATGATTTGAATATCAATAAATTCTGTGGTGGAAAGATGTATTGAAATATTATAAATAGAATGATAATTGAAAACACTTTTTTCCCAGCTAAATATTTTTTAATTGATTTTTTTTTATAAAATAAAAAAGGGGAGATAACTCTTACCTAAATTCAAGGTCATGAATTAGGACACATCCCACTAAACTTACTTATAGTAATAAATGGGAAGTATGTCTAAATAAACTGAGTATTCAAGGCATACATATCTGTTATGTCGTCAATTTCATTGAATTTCTTCCTATTAGGGATTGAAGACCTTGAATATTGAGTATATTATATGTATATTTATAGGAAAAGTCGTCGCCATTTTATTCATGCAATATGACCTGGCATACAGAATAATGGAGATGGTAGATAAATTGTATAATAGTTCTGACGTCATTTGGGTCGGAGGTGACGCATGGATAGGAAGGGAGCCACCTAGCGGTCACACAAAAATTATTGAAGGAGCCATAGGGATAAGTCCTGAAACGAGAAAATATCCAGGGTTTGCCGAGTACTTCAAAAAGTAAGAATAGCCTTAAAAGTAAGTTAAGTTAGAATTTTCAGCAAAATAAACAGCTTTGCTTCTAGTATATTCATTTATGAAGTAATCGTTTTCTTTGTGTACAATAATAAAAGCAAAAATATGAATTAACTTTTATGACAAGGGTTTTGAACTTTGGAATTCTATGCAATATTTATCTATATACAAAGCAATGAATGGACGAAGTATTGCTTTGTTGTCATTTAATATTTACAATAAGTAAAACTTCAATCTTGAAATAGGTGTATTTTGATGACATATCCTTTCTCTGTATTTAGAATAAATATAAGTAACAGTCCTAATCCCTGGTATGGTGAATACTTAAAACAACGGTACGGCTGTTCTTTAACTGACAAGAAGAATAGCTGCTCTGACATGCCAATCAGAGGTACACAATAGTAGAAATCAAGTAAACTTACAGTTTGATACAATGATTATTGCCTTAAAGCAACTATATAATGTAATTTGATCTAAATTCTAATTAGAGCCACTTTATGTAAACTAAATTTAGATAACCAGACACTTGTGAATGAAACACGGAGATGAACTCAGAAGTCCATCATAAATATCAATTTAGAAGAGAGAAAGCACAGACCTATAAGATTCTTAGATTTAATTTCGTATAACAGTGTAATATTCTTTTATCTCAGTTTTTACAGAGATCACTTGATCAGCAATTTCTCCTATGTAAATGATTTAGTTAAAGATTTCAGAGAACTGTTAACAGCCTACAATGTCCGAAATGCTGTATACTCTTTTGGGAGAGCCCTGGAAAATATTCACACCTTACTCTGTGGAGAAAAGAGAAGTTTATGTCAGTCAATGAAAGCTAATCTTACAGGAGAACTCATACTCCAACATTTGTCCAACGCATTCAGTGAGTAGTTTATAAGAAATTAAAATCAACTTCTTTTGGGTTTTCATTTATAGAAAAAAAAAATTGTACTGATCACACATTGCAAAGTACAAATTGCTGTTTATGACTAATAATTTGACGAGAAACGTATTATTGACATTCAAACACATTTATCCCCTTTCATTTGTCTTTCAATATAGATCCATTCAACACGAGCTTCCATTTTGTAAATTGTGATGATGGTCCCATCCGATACAGCGTGTTACAATACAAGAGGCAGCAAAATGATTATAGATGGATTGAAAAAGGAAATTGTATGAAATGTTTGTTTTTTTTTTTTAATATATTTTTCAATGTTTAGTCAGTTTAGAAACATGAAACTTAAACATAAAACATGTATGGCTTCAAATTAATTCTCTCTGGGGAAATATTATAATTTAAATTTTGTCACGTTAAGCAATTGATATTAATCTATTATTATTTTAAAAGCAAAAATTGTTCATCATTACAGGTTATGGAAAGGTATTGATCAGGAAAACTATGAACGGTTCTGAGTATACCTCCTCCGTGTGTTCCCAGCCTTGTAAGAAAGGTCAGTATCGGAGCAGAGGCGAGGTTTGTTCATGGGAGTTCAAGGACTGTGACTTCACAGGTACGTTAAGGCTTCCCAGAAAATATTGCATTGTACTCTGTGTAGGGGGTTCAGGTAATCCGACATAGCTATGTAATCGGTGCCATTTGAACACTCAATTTATTGGAGTTTAAAAACGTAATGTATTTCATTATTATTCGTACTTAATTTATAATAACATTTTTTTCTACCTTGAACTTTCGCATGTTGTGTGCTTTAGTGTCATTTTGCAAAGTTTGTATTAAAAAAATAGCAGGATCAAAGTTGGGTTAAAATTAGATGCGAGATATCCCCTTTGATGCATGGCCCTATAATTTTATCTCCTTTAAGTTGATAGCGTCAGTTTGATTGGCTTTTCATCAGGCGATTTTTAAGGAATGAATGACATTGACGTATCACAGGAACGCTTACATTTTGAGGATCAACATGGTTATTACTGCATCATAATGCAATGTGCAGAAATGTGTGAATTTTCGTTTTGTAAATAGGTTAATTTTACTACGGTAAGTAATTGAAATATGTTTATGCAACATGCACTATTAAAATGCGGAAAAAAAATTCTTATCTGAATAATGTGGTTCTGTAATCATTTCGGAAAATAATTCATCTGGATTCCATTCCAAAATTTGTCACCCCGACGTGACTTTTGAATACTGTTTCTGAGTTACCTTTCAATTCATGCATAATTTTGTATTGTAATACCACAAGAGAAAATGCAAAAAATTAATATTAGATTAAATAAGAATAATTGGAAAAAATTATGAAAGTAATGAAGCAATTCCTTGCTTCATATAATCATTAAATGTACACATTTAATTCTGAAGCCAGGATTTCCCTCTGAAATACTGTATATTACATGTTGTAACCCGAAGTTCTGATGTTCTTTATTATTGTTTTATTTATACAATAAAAAAATATTCATATTTTTGTTTGTGAACATGATACATTGTGGTTATTTTTTTTTTTCATAGAGTAGATATATACAGTCATATATACTTCTGGAAAATGCTAGGACAGCTCCATATATGATGATTATGGTAACCACCGGCGGTAGTAGCAGATGTGTCAGATGAACTTAACACTCGACTTCTCCAGGAAGGATGGATAATTCAAACTGAATATATACAATTATTGATTGATACCGAAAATTTGATATCATGTAATAAAAGATCTATATCAATATAAGAAACTGTGAATTAACCGTAGTTATTTCTTTTTCCTCAATCTTTGCAGTTTTTAAAATATGGACGGCTTTCTTCTTTGCGATGTCCAATCAGAACTCTGATATTTAGCAACAATATTTGATTAAGATCCCTATTTTAATATATCTTATAAAAGTACTTAATTATAAAGAATTAATAAAATTTCATTATTTATTTATTCTTAAGGTACATGAGTTTTAAAGTAGCCATTTCTTTAAAAAAAATTCATTGTATATGTTATTTTATCACTTATCTTTTTTTTTCTTATGGAATTACTTTTTTTAACAGTATGGAAGGACCCACTTTTAGCAAGACGATGTGATTTCCATACCCTTATTCTGTCGCTAAATTGTATGTACTTAATGTCTTGTCGAGTCAATTTTTTTTCTACCAGGATAACGAAAATGGTTTGTGCACGTAAATTTTCAAGACAGTTTCATGATGGTTACAAGATGTTGGAGTATCTCATTGACAACATCTATATTGTTGTTGTTTTTTTTTTTTTGGACCTAGTTTTTCAACAATTAAGCTGTCTGAATAACATGAATGAACTATGCTCTTTCAGTTTTCCACTGACAGACGTCTCTATATGAGTAAAAAATTCTTTAGAGAGTAGTTAAACTGCATGCAATTAATAATTCATTAATAGATTTATTTTTCTCTTGATAGATATGTTATTAAAAAATGTACGTTACGAAGTTTATTAATTGCTATAAAAGGGTTCGATACTGTTTTGGTTGTTTTGTGTTAGGTATGTAAAAAACCAGTTTTGTCAAAAGTGGTCAGACCTTCAAAATATTATGTAAATATTATGTAAATAATATGTAAATACAAAATAATATGCGGCATACGTTAATTTACATAAAAAATCCCTTTATGGGAACGCTATATCAAAAAAGTAACAGTAGTTGCAGGTGTAACAAAATTAATACCCTGGAACAAGGAGATAAATTATGAAAATGCCAATTGTGCTGGGTACCATATATTTTCCCAAAATTGTCGCAAGTGAAATGGCCTTTAATTGTACTGACGGAAAGGGAGAGTACTTGTGGTACAGGGAACTTAGAATAACTTCTTTTTCGAGTCTGGTGTGTGTTATGCTCTGATTAAAACAGGATCGAGACTTAGCAAGATCACAACGGACACATGATTACTTCCTTAACCATGTTGATTGGTACCATGTAAAAGAGTGTATATGTTAATAAGCATACATTTGCAAAAAAGAATCCCAGTGGAAGAGGAAATATTTTGGGAAATCAAACTGTTAGCTAAAATTAAACTAAATTTTAAATTCATGTTGCGGATGTAATGAATTTAACAAACTATCAGACATTGCATTTGTAACAATGAATGAACACACATTGACTCTATTTACCATATTGTGCATCTTTACGGAGATATATTGTGGTAACTTATGTGGAGAGAGGTTTGTCTTAAGTGTGAAAGTTTATTCTATCTATTATGATTTAAAATAAGCAAGAAAAATAACATGAATCCTGTATATGTTAACAGGTGCTGTGCAAATTTTTATAAAAACCGGAACGGCTCTTGTATTGGTAAGAATACTTTTCTTTTTTACTTTGTTTATTTATATACCTCAAAAAATCTCATGAAAATGCAATACAGGAGACTTATAGTCCGACCGTAGAAAACACATTTCAACGTAGCTAACTTGTAAGTAAAAATTGGATTCGACGATTAAAATACAGTGTCAGCATTGATTGTATACAGCATTTCTTGGGCACAAAAGTAGGCTGTTTTATATGCATTTGAAAAATAAATTTGGCATTGAAAGACGTTCATTTTATGTCAAGTTCTGCAAACAATGAAATTCACAGCATAACACGGCAATACTATTAAGTTTTAATCACTTATTCTAGAATCTTGAAAGAAATACGGAAATATTGAACAGAAATAAGTCTAAAACGTTTAATCATTTATACAATACAAATCGAAAGCAGAGCAAAAAAGAAATAGAAATAGAGAAATGACATCAGTTGCCATTTAGAAGTGAGCATTCCCTTTAAAATAGATGACATTCGTAGGCAATTCTGTCTGTACAGAATGGCTTAGCAACCATTAGTGTGAAAATTATCAGTCAACGTTCTACAAAATGATATTTTGTATTTGCCGACATAGTCTGAAGAACTACTATGAATGAAATAAAGGATAAAGAGGAAGGTAATGTTTGGGTTTTATTGTGCCCTAAACATTTCATGTTCTTAAAAATTCATTAAATTGGTCTTAATATAATTTGAGTAGAAGAATTTGATAAATCATTCAAAATATTGCACAAAGGAGGACCTAGAAATGCGTATGATGTAAATAAATTTTTGTATTTCTACGTTTTATGCAGAAAAGCATCAAAATGAACCATTTTGTGCTTATTTTCATTTAGTAAAATAGTGTCTTCTTCCCGCATGTCACTTTTTGGATATTTTGTGTAAAATGCTTTCAAACCACATATGCCAAAATCTTTAGAGAAAATACTTTAGTATGCTCAAAATCATGACGTTTGATTTGCATTTGGGAGGTCATATTGGAAAAAATATTTAAGATTTTTACTACATGGAATTTCAAAAATTCAGAAAGGATAATTTTAGCTTCTTTCACTATTCTAAATTTTAGGAAAGAAAACAGGGCAAGATTTTTTATTGAAACTGTAGTTATTCTTGGACTTAATAATAATAGGCATACTATTGCAGAATGTCCATCTGGTACATTTGGTGTCAACTGCGCAGGAAAATGTAATGCGGGTTACTACGGGAGACTCTGCAAGTTTATGTGTGATTGTCCTCCTGAGAGATGTAACGAAAAATACGGATGTCTGCAGGAAAGTGCCGGTATTGTAAAGATGTAGCCCGTAAAACAACATAGAAATAGTGCATTTTCTTCATTATTTTATATCTTGGTCACGGTAGCCTAGTGGTTGAGCGTTCGCTTCGTGATCTGGAGGCCCGGGTTCGATTCTTGATCGCGGCGCAGCTTCATAACTGAGACGTAAACATAGGTAGTGATATTTCCTTCGCCAAGCGCTCGGCACTAGAAGTGAAAGTCATGGGTCTTTCGGATATGAACTTAAAAACGTAGGTCCCGTGTCACTGTAGGCTTTGACACGATAAAGAACCCTCACTGCTCAATGGCCCTGAGTGCCGAGTACAGGGTAAATTTGAAGCCCTTCACCGGCATACAGTGACGTCTCCATATGAGTGAAAAATTCTCGAGGGGGACGTTTAACAATATACAATCAATCAATCAATCATTATTTTATATATATCGAAAGGAAAAAGAAACGCAGTGTAAACTTTGGAAGTGAATTAAATTTATTTTTCTTTTAATTTTATTTCCGTATTCCTACATGTATCTAACTCTTAAAATCATCTTTCAAAAAGATATAACCAAAATCCCATTTGATTTTGTCAAATAATCCATGACTTATTGAAGCCCATATGATGATACACCCCAAAAGTGAAAATCGAAAACTCTCATTATCTTCAATGTCTTTTCCGCGCATCTGCCAGAGTCTTATTTCTCCTTTGCATGGAAGTCATGTATGTGTTTATCTTTCAAACCCTGGGTATATTGGGCATTGGTAACCACGACAAAAAATTAGTCAAACGACGAGCGCAGGCGCCAGTGAGAGAAACACAACAGTAAGTTGACCGGCTCAAAAAACCAAATCGTGGAATATTTTTATTTCATTTAGCGTGTGAATGTAATGATTACAATAGTCTACTGCATGAATGGTGGTTTTTGTAGTAGTAAGGTGGTGATATAAGAAATAGCTGGACTAATAAACCGCTCGTAACATGACTCTGTTTCGCGTTAACGTCATCGTCACTGTTGACTGAAACCATTCCAGGCTCCTTCTGACAACGGGTTACAAGTTTTATGGGGGAAATTTTACAACACACTGCTTAGTTACCCGTTATTGCCATTTTCATTGATTGGAAAATTCAAAAACCAGACCCCATGGAACATCCTTTGTAAACTGTAACTAGAATACAAGAAATTCGACTCCTCTCTAAATATTTAAAAACGGTGTTTATACCTCAGGTGCATCAAATGGTGCACAGGAATTGTTGACAAACTCGTCGTCATCAATTTGCTCGTGATGTGGGCTTTTTAGCGTTTTCCTACGTGACGTCATACATTTTTTAGTTGAGTAATTCTGAACACTGATTTTGGTGCATAGTAACTAAATTTCTCATCTGACCAAATTTCGTAATTTTCGGTCATGCGGTCAAAAGAAATTCAAATATTATGCTACTCTACGTTTCTTTTTACTTTCAGTATTTTCAAAATGGCATCAGCGTAAGATTTAGCATTTAAAGATAAAAATACTAAGACAAAATGCAGAAGTATTTTTGTTTACTTTTTTCTTAGCGAGACAAATAGACAACTGTATCATTATCTGCATGTTTTTGTCTCATCTCCTACAGTATATTGGACTTTGTTTGTAGTGGAAGACAAGAAAAACACCAGTGTGTGGGTTAACGTGACGTATGCTCTGATTGGATCTGTGACCACAATGAGTCTGATTGGTGTGATGGTTTACCTTAAATCCTGGTAAGAAAAGATAAATACAGTCAACAACAAGATAAATCTTTCCCTCTTCAAAACAACCATCTTAAGAGAAAACATAATGAAATATGGTGAAAATTTCTAGTAACAGTATGATATTTCTCCTCAAAAAATGACTGATTTGTTGTGAGAAATTTTTCCATTATATGAACAAAATGTCCGGTAAAATTTAAAGATTCAAGAATTTATGCTTTTAATTTATAAAATAACCAGATATATCGACTTAGATTAAATAAAAGAAAAAGAAGGTCATTTTTTCCATTTCTGATATATGGGTGGGAGCAATTGAGGAGCGAGTGGGGAAAATGGTCCCCATATTTTCAAACAGATCATTTTACCGTTGAACATGTTCCGTGAAAGGCTGTCGTAATATAATATATGATATAAAGTCTAGTGTAATATAAAATAAACTTTGTTTTAGAGGGAGATGAAATCCCCCTAAAAAACCGTTAACTATGGAGATATATCTCGTCACCGAAGAAATGATAATGATTTTTCCTATTTGGTAGATCTGATGCAATACAGAATAATCTAATTTCAAAATTGGAATATTCTGTAATAAAAAAAAAAATAGTTATATCTTTTTTCTTTCTTGTAGGTTTTCAAAAACAAATACATCATTCACAGTTACAAATCAACTCTATTCAGATCAGACAGGTATAACGAAAAGCAAGTCACAAAAATAGCATTTTTGTAAAAATCAATATGCAATAATATATTTGAGAATAATTTGATGATAAGAAAAAAAAATTCTTATTTCAAGGGGTCCAACTGGGGTTTCCAATACGCAACACTTCGTGCATCATAGTAAAATAATGCGTGTTCATTCTTTTAAATAATATAAAAAGTTCGTTAAAGTAACATTTTGAAGTGCTCCCATTGGAAACAAGATGGTAGAATTTTTATGTACAATATAATTCGCAGCACTGTTAAGGCCTACTATGAGAAATCAACGGAAAATAGACGTGCAAAAAGGGGAACCTTTTTAAAACTGAATTTATTTTATTTAAGCTGTTTTATTATCACAGAACTTAAATACTTATGGAAATAGCATGGTTTAACCCACTCTGTACTAAATGAAGTTTGTTCTCAACGATGGACAGTCTGGTGATGAATAGTTCGTGTACTGAATGTAAGTCATGAACAAATTTCATTACAATACTTCTGTTAAAATGTTTCCTATATAAAGTAAAGAAGGTAAAATAACTTTTTTTCATAGTCTTAAAATTTCCACACACAGAAAGCTATACCCCGGGTTATAGTTTTTGTTATCCTCCCCTCGTAAAACTCTCATGCAAGTTTTGACGCCAATTTAAGTTTCCAGCGTTAAATCCATAGTCTGATGTTGTCATATTGACTTCAGCAGCATTTTGACGTCATCAGGATTTCAGGTTATTCTTGCAGTATTGTCTAACTCCAAAGAAAATTCAAACCTAAAAAATTAAAATATACATCAGTATAATAAAACGCTTTTCCACTGGTTGTGAGTGGGATAGCTCTTTCATCAAACAAACAAGTCCTTGGGGACTAGTTCCCTGTCGCGGGTTTGATAAAAGAGATATTCCACTCACAACCATTGGATAAGTGCATAATATCGCAAGGGTATACCTTAGTTGAAATTAAAACCTAAAGCTATTAATTGTTTCTGCATACTTTGGAGTTTCTGAAAAGTGCTGCTGCTTTGAACAGGTAAATAAGTCAATGTCGAAATATGTTTGACTATTACCAATTTTTTGTAAACTTAGAAAATCACGCCCTCGATTTAAAGAAAGCAGCAGCACTTTCAAGTTAAGAAAAATATCCTCTATCTATATTCAAAAAATGGTTAAGATCTATTATGTGTATGTCATTGCGAAAGTGCGATTTTATGAGGCATCTCATTGTAAAATATACGTAACTTGTACATAAAAACACGACATAATTAATAAAATATATTTTCTTGATAGTTTATGAATAATTGTAATAAGCAAAGTATATACATTGGTATTTATCGACTATTTAAAACCTGTAAATGATATTCCGTTTAATAATAAAACGCATTTTTCATTGTTAAAAAATTCCTCAATCTGCCTCTCACAGCACATGAAATACGTCACTTTTACCAAAATTACGTCATGTTTACAAGTTCATAGCAATCAGTGCTTTGTTTATAACCAGCTTCATGGGATTTAACTAGCAAGGTTTTTTTAGTGCAATGATAAGTTTTATTGTTGTTCATTATGCTAATACAGTTAAAAGATACAAACTATTTCATTTTCAGGTGTTATGGGAAATACATAAAAGTCATATTTTTGTGTGACGTCAAAAAGTCTATTTTAATTTTCGCATAATTTGCTCTGAAGTGCGAAATATCGGCATTTTCCAATATAGCTACATAGTAAATGTACCTGTATTTTGAGACGGCCCCTAAATAAAAGATATTGAGATAACAAACAGTATTAAACATCAAAGTCCATAAAACAATCAAAATAAGAGCAGAGCAAACACGGACCTCTGAAACAACAGAAATTGGATCAAATACCAAGGAGGAGTGAGTGTCCCCCGCTGACCGGTCACACCCACCCTCTGCTCCATGTCATGATCGAGAAATAATGGCAAAATCTGTCGTCAAATCAGTGTATAAATAATGGACTCACAACTAGTATAAAAAACGTCAGTCGGCATTTGACTCAATGATAAATTGTATTTGCTGACAAGGTTATTGTATCGACCAAAGAACCTACGGAACGATGACTTTAAAAGGGACTGCTGATATTCTTTTTTCATCAACTTGTCTGTCAATAATTTACCCCGTTTTAGAAACTGTTCATACGTAGAGCATGCTCTTGCATATCGAAGCAACTGAGATATATAAACACCGTATGCAGGTGATGAAGGTATATTGCTGCATAAGTGGAAGTTGACGATAGAAAAGTTAAAGCCATTACGTTTATCATCATAGAGCTTGGTTGTTAGATTACCATTAACGTCCTTTTCAAGTAAAATATCCAAGTATGAAACAGATATGTCAGACTCTGTGTTATCGTTTATCTAAAGCTCCCCAGAATATATCGTATCGACAAAGGAATGAAAATTACCATTGTTAATTGACAATACGTCATCGATATATCTAAATTTTAAGATAACATACCTAGACAGTAGATTTTCCCTAAACTTGGCAAGTAAACTGAAGTCGATATAAATTACATGTTACATTAAATTAAAAAGGTCCTCTTTTGTAGTTTTCATGAAATGAAACCCCAGTCAACTCCCTTATATCCTGTTATTTTGCATCATTATTTTTTAACAAATGAAATTGTCTTTGCATGTCAAGCAATGGTTAAGCTAAATTACTTATAAATACATGCATGTATAAAAATACCCAAATGTTCTCTTAAACAGAAAATCAGGAAGAAAATAGGTATGAGAGTCGTAGAAACTCGTCGTCCAATGAGACTGAAAATGTTTTACAAAATCACCCAGACCTAAACGATTATACCGATTTGAGATTATCCCGGATGCAGCCTCAATATGACGACTCAAAAGACAGCGAAGGTGCCTCAGAACCTGCAACACCGTCTGTTCATTCTCTTCTATCTTCAAGAACTAAAAATGATCACAATAAAGAAGTGATCGACAAATCTAATGGCGGAGATCTCGATGAGGCATACGAACGGTATTTTGAACACGAAGGATACAACGTTTTGTCTCTACGTAAACCATCTATTCAGAAATCAATGACACTGAGATCTTTTGACTCTGCATTCAAACTCGGGGACAATGCAGAAGGTATGCATGATGAATACGACTCGATAGAAATGAAGGACAAACAGAAAGTAGAGTGCGCGTCTGAATTAGGGATAAAGAAAATTAAATTCCCCGAAAAAGTACTTTGTCAAAAAAGTTCTATAGATGAAACAATAAAACATTATATAGAAAGTGCTCAACTAAATCGAAAACTTGGCCTGAAAGAAGGCAATGAGACAAGCGCTTTAAATTCGATATCAAAAAGTAAAAGTTTTACCGTGCGAGAGTCTGATCGGCCCAAGCGTTTTTCTTCACGTCCTTATAGTTCGGCAAATAGTAGTTGGCGTAAACGACACGCAGCTGGATTGTCGAAACTGAGCAGAATATCAGATTACGAAGAAGTGTTTTCATTAGAAGAAGACGAAGAATGTGATGGAGATAAATGCTCAGATAGTAATATTCAAAGTAACAATGAGAGTTTTGATGACCAATCGATTGCGACTGTATCTATAGTAAATGAAAATAAAAAACCGCCAATTTCTTCTGAAGGCAAAGAAAATGAGTTTGCTAAGCCATATGAAGAAATCGATTTATTGGAAAATGAGTCTCATACTAATACAAACATTTTGAACCAGATTCATCAAATGAATACAGTCAGGTTCAGAAACGACCACAGCTTCAATTTAATGACTCTAGCACGCTGTCTGTAGAGCTGCTGAACGAGGAAGGAAAACTAAGCGCTAAGATGTAGCAAAAGGTCAATTCAAAGATGTCTATATTCTTAAAATAACATACTTTGTAAAAGAGTAAAATATTAAGAGTGATGTATTGTGTAAATACTTGTTAACTGAAACTTTTGAAAACAATAACAAATCATATTGCCTCAGTTGTACATTTATTGTCACAGCTGTTTTATGTTTTTTAAAAAAAAGCTTTTTGATTATTTTCATAAAGCTATTGATTGGGACTGCTAATCCTATCATTTCAACAAATATTTTTAAAAAGATAATTTTTATATGGTCCAAGTATGTAGATCGTCATGCCAGTTTGTACATTGTGCTGTTTAATAAATTTGGAAAATAAACACAATATAGTTCAATAATACTGAAGGGTTTCCATGTATACAAAGAGGTAAATGACTAATGTTACAGATTGTACTAGGTGCTAGTTAAGTGTTTTTCAGGAAAAATCAACCTGCGTACATATACTCTTTCCAGGATATTAAATACTGAGTAAAGGAATCTATTTAATTGAAAAATTAGAAATTATTTCAAATATATAGTGAATATTCCGGATATGGTAGAATAAATCACAAAAAGGACCACTATTTCATGAAATATCTAACATTCAGAAGAAGTGTAATGCGAAAGAAACTTAAAGTAATCATTGATTAGTTCGTAAACTATTTAGGTCCTGAATGGTAATTCAAAACCTTCACGTTTTATCCTTTATAACTTACTCTTTATTACTTTATGATAAATCAAAGATGGTTCAAAATGAAAAAAAAATTGTAAACTTAAAGAAAACTCGAACGTAATTTGCATGGCTATAACTCTTTAAGGTAGGATTCTTCTCTGGTTTCTGACTAGATGAAACATTCAAAGCATATTTGCTTATATGTCTTACATATTGAGGTGTAAGGAATTTAAAAGACCATATTTTTCTTTCCTCATCACAATTGTACAACTTTAAATAGAAATGGTAAACTGTGTTTGAAAACTAGCAGGGACTATATTTTTGGCGGAATGGTGGCGTATGAAAATATCTTCTTTTCTGCCTCTCAAAATTAAAATAGAACAATGAATTTAGTTATTATTTTTACACAATCGGAGACTTGGAAAAATTTTCAAATGTAAGTTAGATTATTATTTTTTTTTTTCAGTATTTTTTTTTTTTAATTCATAGAATTTATTTTTTGCTTTCACATTTACAGACTATGTACAATAGATTTGTTTACATTCAATACATACATATACTATATAATTTTTCTTCCAAATAATTTATATTATATACCTTATACAAATTCTCTTTGGTAAATGCTAAATACAAATTCATTTCATAAAGCTGCATAAGATATATGACATTCATGTATATTATGAATCTTCATTGTGAAAGCTTTATATACAAAAAAGTAAACAAAGGGGAGGGGTGAGGAAAGAAAACAAAGTGAGGTGGGGGAACAGTTTTCACTATTTTACCATATTGGTACATTTGAGTATAAATTTGAAGAACATTATAGCATATCACAAATAATTTTCCAGGTCTTTTCATATTCTGAAAATTTACAATTTCTTAAAAGAATAGCCTTTTCAACCAGTATTCTATCTACAATTATTTTTTCTAGCATTACTATACTTAATTTAGGCATATTTTTAAACCTACTGGCAAAAATGAATTGTTTAATAGTAAGTATTATTATATTGTGTAATCTATACATGTTTTTATTGTTGTATTTTCCAAACAGTATATCTTTTCTATCAAAATTAATAGTAAAATGGAAGTTTTTCATAAACCACTCCTCTATATGACACCATATTCTTTTTACACAGAAACATTCAAAAAATAAATGTTCAATTGTTTCAACTTCTTGTTTACAAAATGAGCAAACAGGTGAATCAATTAGTTTAAGTTTATAAAGGTATTTATTTGTTGCAATAATCCTGTGCAGGATTTGAAATTGCATCCACTGAAATTTTGCCTCTTTTGTAACTTTAAATGGTAGTTCAAATATTTTGTTCCATTCTAACTCACCAAAAGATATTCCATTATTTTCCCATTTTTCTAATGCTTTATTTTTTTGCTTTTTCTTCTTGATGAGTATATTGTACATATCTTTACAACCACTTGTGCTTTTATAAAAAATGTAAATTGAATTTGGGATAAAAGGTCCACTTTCTTCTCTTTTTTCAATATCAATACTTTTCAATATCTTTGTAACGGCTATTTTTAAACCGGTATATTCTACAAAATTAGTTTGTACATTCAGATTATTGAGGTACTCGAGGCTTATAAGTTTTCCTTCAACGTCAAACAAATCTCTTATGAAAACAAAGCCTGCATCAAAATAACTTTTCAAAAATACAGAGGAATTATTTATTTTAATTCTTGGATTAAACCATGTATGTTCATGAAGAATTTGAGTATTACTTGTTTTTTGACTACCACTGCAGTCAATGATTTTTACACAATTAAGTAAAACCTCTTTCCAAAATTTGTTGCTTATTTTATTACACATCTTAACTATAAAATCTAAACCTCTTACCCAAAGAGATTCAATTTTCATTCCTAATTCTGATTCAAAAAGTTTTAACCATTTCGTGTCTGAGTAGATTAGTCTTCGAATCCATGTTGATTTTAATGCACATAAGAAATCCATATAATCAATCATTTTCAACCCCCCATTTTTATAGTCTTGGATTATAACACTCTTCTTAACCTTATGTACTTTACTTCCCCATAAAAAGTAATAAAGGTCTTTCTCAAATTCATCGAGTAATTCCTTATTGGGGTTTGGAACAGTCAATATCAAATGGTTCATCTTTGGTATAATCAGGGATTTAATCACTGTTAATCTACCAATGGGAGTCAGTTTTCTTAATTGCCATTGTTTTATCAATCGCTTTATTTCATTTAATTTTGGGGGGTAATTCAGTTCAATCATTTCATCTAAATTAATAGAAAACTTTACACCAAGAAGATCAAAAGTAGAATTATTCCAGTCTAACTTCCATGTCGAGTGATGAAAGACTTCTTTAGAGAATTTTTTACTACCGATCCACACCATTTTTGTTTTTGTAAAATTAATTTTCAGTCCAGATACAATTGCAAAATAATCAAGCTCTCTTAATATACTATCCATAGACTGTGGTGATCCATCAGATATAATTGAAGTATCATCGGCATATTGTGAAAGTTTATATTCCTCCCCATCAATTACAATTCCTTTTATGTTTTTATTATTTCGAATGAGAATCCCAAGAACTTCAGCACATAGTAGAAAGAGATATGGTGAAATTGGGTCCCCTTGTCTACATCCCCTTTGTGGGAACAAGTAATCAGAGGAAATTCCATTCTGTATGACACATGATTTGATTCCATTATAAAATGTTTGTATCCAATTTTTAATGGATTCCCCAAAATTAAAAAAATCTAATGTTTGGTATATAAACTTCCATGATATAGTATCAAAAGCTTTTTCAAAGTCAACTAACATTAATAAGCCTGGAATCTGTTTTTGTTCTGTGTAATTCATTAAATCATAAACTAGTCTAATATTTTCACCAATGAATCTTCCCTTCAAAAAGCCAGTTTGGTCCTTATTTATTAATTTATTCAACACAGTTTTTAATCGTTCAGCAATACAGCCTGAGGCTATTTTATAAATCACATTCAATAAACTGATTGGGCGCCAGTTCTTTAAGAATTGTTTTTGTTTTCCTGGTTTTGGTAGGCAAGTTATTAAACCTAATTTATTTGGTTCAGTAAAGTGTGATAATTCATACGAGTTGTTTATTGCTCTTGTAATGAAAGCACCTAAATCCTGCCAAAAAAATTTGAAAAATTCACAGGTGAACCCGTCTGGTCCAGGGCTTTTCTCATTTTTCATAATTTTCAAATAATTCAAAACTTCAGAATTAGTCAAAGGGCCTTCGAGACTTTCTGATTCTTTTTTGTTTAATTTCGGCACATCATACATCTTTAATTTTTCATGGATATTTCCTGATTCTACATTCTCTTTACTTTTATATAGATTTTCATAGAACAGCTTAACTTCATTCAAAATATCAAATTGGTCAGTAATTATAGTTCCATCTTCCTTTTCAATTTTAGGTATAACTTTACTCTGATAGTTTCTAGACTCAAGGCTGGTAAAATATTTTGAAGGTTTTTCTCCCTCTTCTATCCATTTCACTTTTGCTCTAATACATTGGCCTTTAAATTTTATTTTTCTAATATTCTCTAATTCTTCATGTTTTTTTTCTAATTCTTCAGCATGTTCTTGCGACAAATTCTGTTCCAGTATAAAGATTTCTTTTTCTAGTTGCAATTCTTTTTCAGTTATTTTCTTTTTCTTAAAAGTTGAATAAGAAATTGATTTTCCTCTTATTTCCATCAATAATGTATCTAGAAATAATTGATCACTTAGCATAAATTGAATTTTATCATTTTCAATAGAGTCAATGTTATTAAAATTGTAGATAGGACAGGCGTATTGTAATTTAATATTTTTAATTTTTTCTTTTATCAAATTTACATATTCTTTATCTGCTAATAAAGAGTTATTTAATTTCCAAAACCCTCTTCCTTTCAAAAATTCATTTGTTTTAACACCCATTGCAACTGGACAGTGATCTGAACGATAACTATTTTCAAATTTTACATAAGGGGCCAAATTTAGTAACGATTCTGATATTAGGAAATAATCAAGTCTTGCCTGTTTTATTGGATTTTTCTTTCTCCAAGTGAATCTTTTTAAATTTGGATTGTTTTCACGAAAAATATCTTTTAAATTTAGTATCTCTATCATCTTTAATACTTCCATTCTTGATTTAGGGTTATTTAAGTTTTTATAGTTCATTGAATCCAAATCCTTATCTAGAATTAAATTAAAATCACCACCTATAATCATATATTTATATATATTTATATATCATATAAGTTAGATTATTAATGAGGGACTAAACTTTCAAAATATATCAAATAGATATGATTTTTCAAATAAACTAGAACTTTATTAGCTTTTAAACGCTTCCTATCAAAGTGCAGATTTGAGCCAAAAATCCATAAAAAGTATTTTTTCTCTCTTAATAAAAGATCAAA